CATACACAAAAAAAATCAATGAAGCAATTTATAAAGAAAAGTTTTTTTTTTTCTTTTTTAAAATCAACTTCCTCAGGTTGAAGAAAAGTTTTTGTTTTTGTTTTTTCTATTTTGTTTTGAGACAGGGTCTCTGTTGCCCACGATCACAGCTCACTGCAGACTTTGCCGACTCGACTTCCTAGGTTCAAGTGATCCTCCCACCTCAGCCTCCCAAGTAGCTGGGACTACAGGCACTGGCCACCAAGCCTGGTTAATTTACAAAGCAAATATGCTTTCCCTCTATGCCTATCTAATTACAATCCTCCCGTGTATCCAACACACACTAAATGTTTGATGTGAAATGAATCCTTCTATTCTTTTTTCTGTGATTATACAGAAATATGTTTGTATTAATCTGCACTGGTTCTTTTTGTTTCTAAAAAATGTATTACATTACACAATATATTGTTATAATGTATTTATTTATTCTTTACCTGATAAACATATCATGGACATTCCTCCAGGTCAATATGTCATTCTTTCTCTTTCTTTTTTTCATATAGCCATGTAATATTCCAGAAAATGGAAGTACTGAAATAAAATTTATAACTTTCATATTGATGGACATTGGGTGGCATTGTCTTTTCAAGATGTCAGTCAGATCATGACTGTTTCCTCCACAGGCTTTCCTTTTCCTGTGGAATAAGAGCTGTGTTTCCTATCTACAAGGGCCTGGATAATCTGGCCCTTGCCTTTCTTTATTTATTTTTATTTATTTATTTATTTATTCATTCATTCATTCTTGAGACAGAGTCTCACTCTGTTGCCCAGGCTGGAGCGCAGTGGCATGATCTCGACTCACTGTAACATCCACTTTCTGGGCTTAAGCGATTCTCGTGTCTCAGCCTTCCAAGTAGCGGGGACTACAGGTGTGCACCACCATGTCTGGCTAATTTTTGTATTTTTAGTAGAGATGGGGTTTCACCACGTTGGCCAGGCTGGTCTCGAACTCCTGACCTCAAATGATCCACTTACCTTGGCCTCACAAAGTGTTGGGATTACAGGCATGAGCCACCATGCCCGGCCTGGCCCTTGCCTTTCTCTAAATTCACCTCATGCCACCCTTCCCCTTACTCATCATAGTCTATACACACCTTCTGGTGAAGTGTTTTTGTTTTGTTTTTGTTTTTGTTTTGAGACGAGGTCTCACTCTGTCACCCGGGCTGGAGTGCAGTGGCACAATCTTGGCTCACTGCAGCCCCAACCTCCCAGGCTCAAGCGATCCTCCCACCTTAGCCCCCTTGAGTAGCTGGGACAACGGATGTGTGCCACTACACCCGGCTTATTTTTTGTATTTTTGGTGGAGACAGGGTTTTGGCAGGTTGCCTAGGCTGATTTCGAACCCCTTGGCTCAAGTCTGCCTGCCTCTGCCTCCCAAACTGCTGGGATTACAGTCATGAGTCACCATGCCGGCTGTGGTGAGGTTTGTATTTTGAGATGGAGTTTCGGTCTTGTTGTCCAGGCTGGAGTACAGTGGCGTGATCTTGGCTCACTGCAACCTCCACCTCCCGGGTTCAAGCAATTCTCCTGCCTCAGCCTCCTGAGTAGCTGGGATTATAGGCGCCTGCCACCAGGCTTGGCTAATTTTTTTTGGTATTTTTAGTAGAGACGGCATTTCACTATGTTGGCCAGGTTGGTCTTGAACCCCTAACCTCAGGTGATCCACCTGCCTTGGCCTCCGAGAATGCTGGAATTACAGGCATGAGCTACTGTGCCCAGCCTGTGGTGAGGTTTTTTTAAAACCACCTCCTGTCTCTGCATATTCTCCACTCTTAACCTGGTAAAGACTACCCTCCTCTCCCCACCAATCTAAATTAGGCTTCCCTCTTAAACTTTCTCATAACATCCTTTAAACATCTTCTTAGTACTCACGACCAGTTGTAATCACATATATGAACTTCTGTTTATATGCTTGTATTTATTTATATGTATGATTATTTAATGTCTGCTTTTTCTACTAGGCATTATGCTCTATGAGGACAGGGACCATGTTTTGCTGACCACTGTTTTGCTATACCACCAGCATTGAGCACAATGCCTAAAGGTTTATAAACTACATTTATTAAGTGAATAGATAGGTTCCACACTGAGGAATCATTGGGTAAGCAAAGTAATACAACTGAATGTTTTTTGTTTTGTTTTGTTTTGAGACAGAGTCTCACTCTGTTGCCCAGGCTGGAGTACAGTGGCATGATCATGGCTTACTGCAGCCTCAACTTCCAAGCCCAAGTGATCCTCCCCTCTGAGCCTCCCAAGTAGCTGGAACCACAGGCAGACACCACCATACCCGGCTGTTTTTAAAATTTTATCTTTGTAGAGACAGAGTCTCCCTAGGTTGCCCAGGCTAGCTTTGAACTTCTGGGCTCAAACAGTCTGCCTGCCCCAGCCTCCCAAAGTCCTAGGATTACAGACATGAGTCACCACACCTGGCCTGATTTAATGTTAACTTTTAAAACCATATGAGAATGAAGTGTTACATACATAAGTCTATATGAAAGTATATAAACACACATATGCATACTTAAACATATGAAAACTGGCAATGTAGTATAGTAAAAGGAGTACTGGCCTGAGATGGTAGTGACTCTCACAATTGATCACCTAGGAACTGTCACCTTACTGTCAGTCTCAGTACAGGGGTGGCATTGCCCCCTAGTGTTGGAGATTTTATTTATAAGTGCTAGCAAACCATGACTTGACTGTATTTCTAGAATAGTCATGCTGAGCATTTATATATTGAAATACAAACAATTTTATTAAAAATTACTTTCTTCATATCATTTATATTATAAAAAGAACATCATTTTGATTTAAGATTAAATCATGTATATAGGTAGTTTATATACCTATGAATTTCATTTTAGGCTAACAAAGAGCATATTATAAAAACATTTATTAAAAAAAGGAATGTTGACTAAGATAAGGTTGCCACTGGATTAGGTGATGCTTAAGATCCCTTCCAGTTTTTACTGTGATGATTCTAATCTTTCATAATGGGAAGGCTTCTTTTTATTTTGTTCTTTTCATTACTTTGTTTATATGCTACTATAAAATTGGTAATATATACAAGAAAAATAAACATACATTTTAAATAAAAACGTCAACCATATTGAATGTTTAGGCATTTAATTACCTAAAGGGAAATCCAAATAATTTCCCAAGTTTCCTTGCTAGGTAATCATTTCATGATTCTATAATTTCAAACTTTGGGTAAAATGTGACTCCATTACATATTTTAATTTTTACCCAAATAACTGTTGTCTCTAGGTTTGATAGTGAGGAAACGGAAACACAGAAAACCAATGTATTGAAAGAATGAGGCCGGGTGTGGTGGCTCACGTCTGTAATCCCACTACTTTGGGAGGCCGAGGCAGGCGGATCACCTGAGGTCAGGAGTTTGAGACCAGCCTGACCAACATAGTGAAACCCTGTCTCTACTAAAAATATAAAAATTAGCCTGGCGTGATGGCACGTGCCTGTAATCCCAGCTACTCGGGAGGCTGAGGCAGAAGAATCGCTTAAATCCGAGAGGCGGAGGTTGCAGTGAACCGAGATCGCGCCACTGCACTCCAGCCTGGGTGACCGGTGAAACCCCTTCTCTACTGAAAAACACAAAAAATTAGCCGGGCGTGGTGGCGGGCGCCTGTAGTCCCACTACTTGGGAGGCTGAGGCAGGAGAATGGCGTGAACCCGGAAGGCGGACCTTGCAGTGAGCGCAGTGAGCCTAGATTGCACTCTAGCCTGGGAGATAAACTCCGTCTCAAAAAAAAAAAAAAGGAAAAAAGAAATGAGGGCTTCTTCTTATGACATTGAGTTCATAAATTTAAAACTGCAACCTCTTTCCCTACTCCCCTTTCCTGTTTTAAGTTTTTAAAATCGGTTATGACATACTATGCATTTTAATCACGTATTTTTAAAAAAATGCCTCCTCTCTCCTCTTCCTCATCCCAACATATCACTAGGATGGGGACAGGGAATTTTTTCTATTTTGCTCACCATTGTGTTCTCAATATATAGGAGAGTACCCGGCGGCCAGGAGGAGCTCATTGAGTATTTGCTGTATGAGTGGGTGAAGAATACATGCAATAAGCAAAAATTACTGCTTCGAGCGCCGCTTTCACCAGAGTTCTGGGATGCAAACGGGAGCGACCAGTACATTGACTGACGTTTGTGACTGATGATTCCTCAGTGCTCGTAGAGATTGTGGCTGCATTCATTGTTCTTGGGGATGTGCCGATGTGTGTAGAGTTTGTCAACTTGCACACAGCTGTGCTGGCAGGACAGCGAACTAACACTAATTCGCACAGAGGTCCGCAAATTCTCAAATTCACATCAACCGAAGCACGTTATTGTAAGTGCACGGGTCTTCCGTTCTCTTGGGTAATCTGCACAGAACAATTTAGTATATTTCTTCATCGGCGATTTTACAGTGAAGAAGGGATCAAGGGTGGTGGCCCCCAAATGCGCAAGGACAGGGAAATGAATTAAACGGGTGTCTGTTTCCTCCTTGTTTCGCAAACAGACGCCAAGTCTGTATCAAATTCTTACCCTAGATCAAATCCCGCGCTCTTCGTACCCCCAACCTGCCTCCACCTCCACCCCGCCCCCTTTAGATATCCCTGGTGGGCGGGGCAGAGAAGAAACATTCCGGGCTCCCAGAAAAATTGTCTAGCCTCGCCCCAGTCTTGGGGTCGCACATTTCCAAAAACACCGAGGACACAGAATGACTAGTGAAAAACGCCGACCAAATGACATTGAAGTAGCACACGCGCGCAGAGAAGGAAGCAAAACACGAAGAAAGGCTCAGTCCAGCAGCCACGTGAGGTGGGCGATCTCCTCCGCCCTCTGAGAGAGGACTTCAACTCCCGGCGTGCCCCTGGGCGGTTACCCTCCGAGGACTCCAACTCCCAGGGTGCTGCGGGAGCGGCCACCGCAACCTCCCACTCAGCCGCCCGCCGCTCCTCCCGCCCCTCCCCCGCCCCTCCTGGCCGGATCGGCGTGCGCCTGCGCACGGGAGGCCGGAGGAGTCTTACCCTAATGTAAGATGGTGGCCCGTCTGGCTGTGGAACCCACCGAAAGCTGAGAGTCTCTCTCTCAGCCGTAAAGGTCGGACTCACTGAAGCAATCAGGCCCGGTTCTGAAGAGTTTTTTCCCCGACGCTCGTTCGGTGGTTTCTTGTGAGGACGCGGCAGCGCGTGGAGTCGGCTGAGGGAAAAGCGAGGCAAGGCAGGCGGGTGAGTCTATGCGGGGCTGGGCTTAGGGGAAACCCGGGGCTGACCGGCTACGAGAGAGCGGAGGCTTCGCTGGGACTGTACAGGCCGCACCCCCCTTTCTCCCCACCCCCCGCCTCATCTTCACCCTCCTCCTCCTTGGTCTTCTTCCTCCTCCTCCTCTTCCTCCCTCTCTTTACGCCACAGCAGTTACCATCAGGAAAAGCGAGCGGGTCAGAAGGCAGCGCGGCGGCAAGCAGCGACTCTCCTTCGAGAATTTCTTTAATTGGGGAGCCGAGGCGGCTTTTGGTCTCCAGCTTTTCCCCCTGCATTTTCATAGGGGCAGGATTCTTAGGTCTCAGTCCTCCTTGTTTCCCCAACCCCCTATTCCCTGTCTGACGTCCTTTCCCACTGGCCCCCGTCTCCCAAGACCAAAGCCATCACTTCCACTCTGACCCGTGTTGCTGCTGCTGCTCGTTAATCCCACTGCTCATTGCCCACCCGTCCTGCTGCTTGTTTTTTGCTCCACTGCTACCACTCTGGAGTTAGCCTTTGCCCCCCTTTGGTGCTTGCAATCAGCCCACAGTGTATCTGCCACACTAGGGCTTCTTCCGATTTGCAGTCTTTCCTTCCACCGCATCTGTCATCTTAAAGCTGCCCCTTAAGTGTCTAGATTATGCTTCTGCTCCTGCTAACCCACCTGTTTCTTAGCCTTCTTGAGAATTGTCCGTTCCTTCCCTCTTTCCTGTACAGATCCTTTCCATATACACTTCCAGAAAAAGGGATGCCCCGTGGTGGCCCTTGAAAAGTAAAGGAAGTTGGGAAGTGAATGAAGTGAGGTCGGATAGTATTAAACGTTATGAGTAAAGATCTTTTATTCAGTCTACTCCGGAGGGGACCGTTTTCGTTTTGCTTTCAGTGATCTATTTGTCGCTTATTCGCTCTGTTGTGTTAGGACGTGGCTTTTTTCTTTTCTTTTTTTTTCATTTTGGACCGGTTTTTACCATGCTACTAAGCGTTCTTTGGATTGTCTCTGCCCAGGACACTTCGTGTGGGCTCTGATTTATACTAATATTAACCCCAGCATTTCAAAATAAGATAAATTTGGCGCACATACAGAATTCATCTGTGAACTCCGCTAGCAAATATAAGTGATATTTTGATTACATGTGGGTTATATGTGGGTTCTTTATTGAGACTTGATTTTTGACTGAGTTTTATTGATGTTCAGCTTAATTGATGACATTTATGATTTGAGTGGAAATTTCCTTTCCAGTTATTATCAGATTTACTTCTTATTTTTGGATTTGGGAAGTTCTCTTGACATTTCTAGGATGATAGTTATCTGAATAAATTGTCTTCTCTTGAAAATCCATTAGGTATGTATGCAAAAGAAAAATCGATGTTTTTATATAAACCTAAGTTTCTCGTATTTTTCTCATAGAAAAGAAGGGGGCTGGGAAAAGAATGACAAAGCTGTGCACATACATGCATTTGGTAGAACTCACTGTCATTGTTATCTACAGTAAAAAGCAGAAAACTAGAAGCAAGAGGTGGCTTATGATGTCCATGTTTTGGTGAAAGCAAAATTAAGATATACTGACTAATGGTATAATGGGAAGAAGCAGCCCTGGCTATAATCAGACCACTGTGAGATAAAGAATTACCAGAAAAGCAACCAGGATTACATAGTGCAAATACATACATCCCGAGTTTGAACATGACATACATGACATTGCATTCTTAAGATATATGTAAAAATGTTGAACATCAGTGACAGTCTCATGTGGCAGTCCATTAGTAGGTTATTGTAATTTTTACAAATTTTACCTGTAAAATTTGGCATCTTAACATTTGGCATTATGTTCACTTGATTGTGATAAATGGTCTGTTTTACCAAATGTAAACTAAGGTTAGAAAACCTGTCTATAAAACTTTTTTCTTTCAGCCACTTAAGCCCCAATTTGGGGGACCAAATAAACACTCTTAGAACTGCAAGCAATTTATATAGCAAACTTTGTCCTAAGTTACAACTTGAGTTTTTTTTTTTTTTAAATCGCTTACATTTAGTTTATCAGAGGAGTGTATTTAATAGTTGATCTTTAACTCTAAAAAATATACTTTTTGTTGTTGTAATACACTGGTGGAGAAGCTTTCCACTTTGAACAATCCTAACACAGGTTTAGAAACTCTTGGCAATCATACTTGGCTGAATTGTAAGCAGTTGAGTTCTAGGAGAGGACTGTTTGTCTGGTAGAAGGGAGTAAATGATTTTAATACGTCTTTTTTTTTTTTTTTTTTAATGGTGTTTGTCTCTCTAAATCTTTTCCTAAGTCTGTTTCTCACCTCAGAGTTCATGGTTGCAGTTACCGAATTCTTCATTTCGGCCCTCTGAAGTCAAAAGGAATTACTTTTGTATCTTTAGTACCTTTAAAGAAGACATCTAAAGTTCTTTAGTATTTTGATAAGAAACAGGGAGCTGAGATTTCTAAATATTTTTGTGTGGTTTAAGTTTTTTGATCTAACGTTATGAACGCTACAGCTTCTTACTTTCATGGTTTCTTTTGATAATTTGGAATACTTTCTACCAGGTTCAATAGTTGAATTCTTGAGATCAATAGATTATTTCTGTAAGAATGTTTTGAATATGAATCGCTTAAAGTTGGCCTATTATAAAATTAGGATGAGACAGTTATACTCAAATAACAAAGTACAGAAAAATAAAATTGTTTTTGTATTGCCCTTCAACTTGAGTCTAAAAGGGAGTACTAGCGATAACTTGCAACTCATTACTTTGTTAAAGAAAGAGGGTGTTGCCAGAGGATGAACTCCTAGCTTTAAGGGAGTTTTATTTTAAAAATGATTTTGTGTGCTTTAAAGGAATAAAAAAAATCTTATCAGTTTAAGCAGTGTGGATTTAGAAATCTTCCCTTTTTTCCCCACTCTACTCTTGGCTTTAAAAGGAATCTATATTCTTCAGTTTAATAAATTTATCTTTTTGTTGTTTTGTGTGAGAAAAATATTAAATTTTCTTTTCTTTCTCTCTCTTTTTTTTTCTGAGACAAAGTCTCACTCTGTTACCCAGACTGGAGTGCAGTGGTGCGATCTGGGCTCACTGCAACCTCCGCCTCCCGGGTTCAAGCGATTCTCCTGCCTCAGTCTCTTGAATAGCTGGAATTACAGGCGTGCGCCAGCTCACTCAGCTAAGTTTTGTATTTTTAGTAGAGACGGGGTTTTACCATGTTGGTCAGTCTGGTCTCAAACTCCTGATCTCGTGATCTGTCCACCTTGGCCTCCCAAAGGGTTGGGATTACAGGCGTGAGCCACCATGCTGGGCCTAAAATTAAATTTTCTAATGTGACTGCAAATAGTACTCAATTAAATATATTTAACCTTAGTGTTATTATTTTTATAGATCATTTAAGTAAAATGGTTTTAATTTGTGAAAACTTCAGCCTCTGGTGAAAATTCAGTTAGTTAGCTCTCTCACAGTAACTATAATACTGTCTTGACTCTTTGTGAAGGAAGTTACATTACATTCAGGTTCTGAAGAAAACAGTAGGGAAATAGGTTATAGAGATTTTTGCTGTTCTAGAAACAGTATAACTAGAATGTACTACATACTTTTCTCAAAGGATTTCTTAATCTAAATGGAACTTGTAAATGGTTTTTATCCCACTGGAATAGCATGTGTTGGATAAAACTTGTTTAACACATTCTGAGATTTTGTAATGTTTTATGTTACCTCAAAGATATTAGGAAAAATCTGCAAATATCCATTCCTGAATAAAAGGTGACAATATCCTCGATATTTTAAAGATTATAGTATATTCATATTTTTCTCAAAAGTCGAGTACGCAAATTAAAAAGCTAGCATAATTTACCCAGTTATTTTTGTAATGCAAGGAAAGAAGATATGTGGGACTTTTTAATCATGCGTTTAGTGGTTTTCCAAAAGAACTTCACAATTGTTTTTAATCTTGTTATGTGGACTTCTTTATTAGAAAAGATTATGTGGTAAATGTCAACTTTTCTACTATAACAGAATCTAACTGGTTCTGTGATACATTTCTTTTTTTTTTTGAGACGGAGTTTCGCTGTGTCACCCAGGCTGGAGCGCAATGGCACAATCTCTGCTCACTGCAAGCTCCACCTCCCGGGTTCACACCATTCTCCTGCCTCAGCCTCCCTAGTAGCTGGGAATACAGGCGCCCGCCACCACGCCCAGCTAATTTTTTTTTGTATTTTTAGTAGAGACGGGGTTTCACCGTTTTAGCCAGGATGGTCTCGATATCCTGACTTCGTGGTCTGCCTGCCTCAGCCTCCCAAAGTGCTGGGATTATAGGCGTGAGCCACTGCACTTGGCCAACACATGTCTTTTGTATGATATGATTCTTTTATTATTTAATTATGAAGTTTATAGAAAATTTCACCACTATTTTGGCCCCTTAGATTTTAGTACTTAGATTTTAGTAGCATATTTTTCGTTTATCAGAAGAGAGAAATTACAAGCTACCAAAAAGAAGATGGTTACATTTATTTGGTTGGAAAACCTAACTTTAAGGATAGTATAACACGGTTTGAGTATAAGTTTATTTTTCCTCTTAACAGGTTTATTTGTGAGTATGGAATTTTTTCTTTACCCCCCTCCCGAGACGGACTCTTGCTCTGTCACCCAGGCTGGAGTGTAGCTGTGTGATCTTGGCTCACTGCAGCCTCTGCCCCCCGGGTTCAAGCATTTCTGCCTCAGCCTCCCAAGTAGCTGGGATTACAAATGCCCGCCACCACACCCAGCTAATTTTTGTATTTTTAGTAGAGACAGGGGTTTCACCATGTTGGCCAGGCTGGTTTCGAACTCCTGACCTCATGATCTGCCTGCCTCAGCCTCCCAAAGTGCTAGATTACAGGTGTGAGCCACTGTGCCCGGCCTCAAGTATGACTTCTTTATTATTAAACTCTGTTCATACAGGAGAGTTGTCTTGTTTTAAGCTTTAATTGCTTTGGGTGATGGGCAGATGGTATAT